ATCTAGCATTTATTATTATTAACATCTTTGTTGACAAAATTTAATTACAACTTTGTCTAATCTGAGGATTTCAATTAAAAGTCTTATTAAAGTTAGGATAATGCTGGCATTCACTGTCACACAGGACAGTGGATATGATCAGTTCCCCCCCTCGATGTTGTGCGAATGTAAACAAAGCCTAGTTTGTTGACCAATCCACACAATAGAAAATGAAGGGACGACGACGTTTCGGTCCGTCCTGTACCATTTTCAATTCGATTGTCAATCACAATCGACTGACAATCGACTTGAGAATGGTCCAGGACGGACCGGAACGTCGTTGTCCCCTCATTTTCTAGTGTGTGGATTGGTCAACATACGTCAGCCACGTTAGTGAAACTCATCGCCTGCAAAGCCTAGTTTGTTTTGGCTTCAAAAGACTGAATCAAAAAGTGTTTTAAGTTTGGCCACTTCTGGTTTACGTATCACAGCTGGTCACGTAGGGGACAGGAAGCCTGTATATATATAATTTAGGTTGGTATCGAGGTCGCCTCTTCCCCCTCCCTCCCCAAGGTCTAACTTCTGACCCTCCCTCAGGGTGCAACCCTATAACAGTTGCCTAACTCCCGGGTGCCAACTTACTGCTAGGTGAACAGGTACATTAGGTGAAAAGAAACGTGCCCAGCCATTTCTGCCTTCCACCTCCCGGGTGTGAGTCGCGAACGAAGCCAATTGTGCTACGTACTATGTACGATGCCCAGTATTATTTCAACCTTTCCCCGAGAACTTGTAGTATCTTCAGGGCTAACTAACTATATAATGCAATATGCATTATATAGACTTTTGTACCCCCCAAAAAAGTATATGTTTTGCATTTTATTATATAAAAGGGCATAACAAACACTTCATGAATGTTATTTGTTTGTTTGTTAAGCTTTGAGGGGTTTCCTTTTGTCAGCTTGTCAAGCTTTTTTCTTTGTCGTCCAAGATGGCGTTATTTTATATTAACATCCTTGTTAATCTCGACCAATCTCAAGCAATCTCAGCCCTGAGCCCCACACACTTGTCCCAACCCTGACATCATACAGTAACATACACACACACAGACTGTAACCTTCAGTAATACAAGAGACCTCGGAGATAAATGTATAGTCTCTCACGTACAATGATCACATCCGCTCTCACTCGAGCAGCGTGCTAGACATCAGAGTTGGCTAAAACCGTGCCTCAAGTCTGGCGTCATTAATCAATCATCTGACCCAAGGAGCCAAGACGAGGCTTCCAACGTCTGAATTCTGACGGAGGAGCGGCTGGCTGCATACAAGTATTACAAATACTGTACTCTAAAATGGTACTATTTTTCAATTTTCTGTTTCATTTTGCTGTCTGTTTTATGTATCACAAATGTTAAGATAATTTGGAAGATGATTGCATATTGAATTTTGAAGGTGTGAGTGGTTGTATTTACAGTGTGTTGTATTTTGAATTGTTCATGTGAGGTGAGGCTTCGGCTCCGTCTGGCTGTAGCCGGTTAATAATAGGGCCGGTTAAGAAAACTCTTGTAACCATACCCTTAATATGAGTCTTTTTTCCTGATCTCATCACTGTTAACGTGTGTGTGTGTGTGTGTATTCCTGTACCCAGTGATAGATCACCTGGGATCACCTTTGCAACTACTGACAGGATCAAGCATTGCTTAACCTGTTTGACCAAGTTACACGTCATACAGAGCTCCGCGCTGCTGGTTGTATATATAAGAACATAAGAACAAGGTAACTGCAGAAGGCCTATTGGCCCATACGAGGCAGCTCCTATCTATAACCACCCAATCCCACTCATAAACATGTCCAACCCACGCTTGAAACAATCGGTATAAATGGGGTCAAGTCAGAGTGGGACAAATCACGGGAGACATTTCCCGTCACGCAGGGTGCAGTCGCACCTCCACAGATCTCCAGTATCATCTATTGATACTGGAAATGGCTCAAAAGGGCCACCACTTACGGGCTATTCATGCCCAAGCCACCTTTTGGGTGGCTTAATCTTCTCTCTCTCTCTCTAGTGGGACAATGTTGCCAGTGGAGTACCTCAGGGCTCTGTCCTGGGACATCTGTGATCATACATACGACGGCGTATATTAGGCCTAGGACTGGTTTTTTAGGCCTATACAGGTTAGGCTATATTTTTTTTAGCATGCCATTTGGAATATTTCAGTAGTGCAAAACGTGATTTTTTTTAAAGCCACAACAGTCGATTTGTGTCCGTTTGAATACAATTTTTAATGATAGATTGTACATGCAGGCTTTTCACACAGAGAAAACGAAAATAATCTGAGCGCTTTCGTATTTTAACACATTTTCAGTGAATATTGGAATACACACATTTCCTTGAAAAATTTTCAAACACACGAAATCGCTCAGAATATTTTAATTTTTCTCTCCTATATAGATACCTACACATACATGAATCGGGTGTTCTTATGATAATACTCATATATATATATATATATATATATATATATATATATATATATATATATATATATATATATATATATATATATATATATATATATATATATATATAATGATTTCTGAAGTAGATTACATGTGTGCAATAAGACGTTGTGTCGAGCTGCTTGGGAAGTGGAAGTATGCGTAAAAGGGCTTTAATGGCGCCTTCACTTCTACCGCAAGCTAGCCAATAAACTTGCGACACTGTCGTTTTTAAGAGCCGCCCCACGAACCACCAGCATGCAAGTGCTATCATCTTAGAACTGTAGCCTTGAATGAGGATTGCAAAAGGTATTTCGAGTATGGCAGTACAGAGTTTAGAATTCTGTGATAGAATAGCAAATATCAGGATTAAGTTGGTTAGCCTGCATATTCCCAGACTACCAGAAGGCCTTCGACATTCAGCACACACGGCCAGGCGACAATTTGGGTGTATAGGGAAAGTCCTGTATAGAGTACAGCAGTTGGGTCACTGTAAGCGGCCGAGTCTGTGTGGGTTACATCGAGTAATTAGATAGAGTATGCGTCAAAATGCTACGCTCTATTAGGACGGGTTACAGCACCTTATTGATAGGCCTTAAACCCAACACCAAACCAAGCTCTTCGATGACTGAACCACTGTCAGGTGTGAAGGCTGAGGTTCAAGTACGTTTATTGAGACAATAAAATACAATTCAAAGGGATAGAGTAGTTTAGGCTATTTCCACCCACCAACTGTGAGGTTGTCTGGATGGTATGCGATTGATTCATGAAGATTAAGCCACTCAAAAGGTGGCACGGGCATGAATAGCCCGTAAGTGGTGGCCCTTTTGAGCCATTACCAGTATCAATAGATACTGGTAATGGCTCCACCTCCACAGATACTGGAGATCTGTGGTGCGAGTGCACCCTGCTTGACGGGAGATGTCTCCCGTCGGATGGTATGTGGAGTCCCAGGGTCTATACCGCCACCAATTTTATCCCAGGATAAACCAGTACGTGCTTCTAGTAGGTACAGATACCAGTAGGGAAAGGTACCAATAGGAGCTGCCTCGTATGGACCAATAGGAGCTGCCTCGTATGGACCAATAGGGGCTGCCTAGTATTGTACAATATTTTGATTCGGGTCAATCCATATCAAATGTTAATATTACAACCTTCGTTTAATGCCGAATTATTTGACATAAATATACAAATGTTTATTGATAAAAAATCTGATTGAATCATTGACCAAAAAAGGCGCCTGTAACAATAAAGTCAATAAATTATGTAATAAAAATATTAATAATTATCTTTTATTTAGAGAAAAATGCTAGAGGCTTTGAAATAAAATTTTGACATTGTAGTATACCTAGAGTATACCTGGAGTGGGTTCTAGAGGTTGTCTTACTGCCCTCGTCCGGCCTGAGGCCAGGCTTGTCTTGTGGCTGGTTGATCTAGAGGGCTGTTGCTTGCAGAAACTCGCACGCCTACAAATATCCACTACGAGAGGTTGGTCAGGCACTTCTTGCAGGAACTTGTCTTAATATTTCACATCCACTTTTGTTCCGGCAATATTTCTCATATTGGTTGAAAGGACATTCAAACGCCGTTTGAGCCTCTGATGTTTATGCAGTGCTCTCTGATTGTGTCTATGACACTGATCGCGTGGAAACATATAGTGTTTAAAACAATGAATGTAACTCGTCAAGGCTGCTCCTTGCTGTGGTGTCAAGTCTTCCCAGTAGCCTCAAGTTTCAAACAGTGTCGAAATTCCAGAGAATATGAGATTCTTGGTGGTTTGTGTCGTACTTTCTCCGCTCCGGTCATTCTGTGTGTGTGTGTGTGTGTGTGTGTGTGTGTGTGTGTGTGTGTGTGTGCGTGTGCGTGCGTGCTTGCAGGATCGAGCTACAAGCTCTTGGACTCCGCATTTCTATCCGTCGGTTGTTTAATGTACTGTCTCCCGATCTCTTCCTATCATATCTACTACATATATTTCTATCTCATACCTTCAGAACCTATTGCCCACTAACCTACCAGAGCCGATAATCATTAGTCCCATAAAACGTCGGTATTCCGGTGTTTTTGAATTTCCCTAAAGCAGCGTAATTTGTACGCCAGGGTCGATGGCGTACGTGGGTGAGCGAGGGCGCGCGCGCGCGGGACCATAGCCACCAGCAGAGGTGATATTATCTGGCGCGCGCGGGAGTCAGTCAGTCAATGACGCGCCACTTTCCCTTCTTGACGGACGTGTCAAATACTCTCTCCTGTGCCAGGTAAGTATACTACGGGCTCACCATAGCCCGTGCTACTTGCCTCGCTCCTGTGCCAGGTAAGTTACGGGCTCACCATAGCCCCATCTATAACAACAACAAACTCACTCCAGTTTTGATACTCTCCCATAATGTCAGTATTGCGGAGATTTAAGGAATTTAAGAGCATCTCACATTATTGGCCTCGATAGGTTAGGCGGGTTGGTTAGATTTATTCGTTTCTGGTTAGATAAAGCAGATGTTTTTACGATTCTGGTTAGGGAAAATCATTCCAAATATGGCGCTGGAGAGAACGGCTCGCCACCGTTACACCTTCAGACCGAGTATAATGCTTTATTATACTCAGACCGAGTATAATAGTGAGTGATCATTCTGGCTAGTGACCACTCTGACCAGCCAGTGGCCATTCCCCAGCTTGCAACCCCCACAACAGTTGCCTAACTCTACCTATATTGTTGCAAGACCATTCTGTTATCTGTATCCATCGTTCAGACGATTATTATTGCTAAAACAAATTCAACTTTTCGGACCGAAAAACGAAGGATTACAAAACTGAACGAAAGTTTAGAAATAAAATAATCCACACACCAGTCACCTACAACCTGTCCTCACACTTAATACGTATCAGTTTTTTACGCATTTAATACACACCATAGGTCAGGGAGCAGGTACCACAGGTCAGGGAGCAGGTATCACAGGTCGGGGAGCTGGTACCACAGGTCAGGGAGCTGGTACCACAGGTCAGGGAGCTGGTACCACAGGTCAGGGAGCAGGTATCACAGGTCAGGGAGCTGGTACCACAGGTCAGGGAGCAGGTACCACAGGTCAGGGAGCTGGTACCACAGGTCAGGGAGCAGGTACCACAGGTCAGGGAGTAGGTATCACAGGTCAGGGAGCTGGTACCACAGGTCAGGGAGCTGGTACCACAGGTCAGGGAGCAGGTATCACAGGTCAGGGAGCTGGTACCACAGGTCAGGGAGCTGGTACCACAGGTCAGGGATCTGGTACCATAGGTCAGGGAGCTGGTACCACAGGTCAGGGAGCTGGTACCACAGGTCAGGGAGCTGGTACCACAGGTCAGGGAGCTGGTACCATAGGTCAGGGAGCTAGTACCACAGGTCAGGGAGCTGGTACCACAGGTCAGGGAGCTGGTACCACAGGTCAGGGAGCTGGTACCACAGGTCAGGGAGCTGGTACCATAGGTCAGAGAGCAGGTATCACAGGTCAGGGAGCTGGTACCACAGGTCAGGGAGCTGGTACCACAGGTCAGGGAGCTGGTACCACAGGTCAGGGAGCAGGTACCATAGGTCAGGGAGCTGGTACCACAGGTCAGGGAGCTCGTACCACATGTCGGGGAGCTGGTACCACAGGTCAGGGAGCTCGTACCACAGGTCAGGGAGCTCGTACCACAGGTCAGGGTGCTCGTATCACAGGTCAGGAAGCTGGTACCACATGTCAGGGAGCTGGTACCACAGGTCAGGGAGCTGGTACCACAGGTCAGGGAGCTGGTACCACAGGTCAGGGAGCTCGTACCACAGGTCAGGGAGCTCGTACCACAGGTCAGGGAGCTCGTACCACAGGTCAGGGAGCTGGTACCACAGGTCAGGGAGCTGGTACCACAGGTCAGGGAGCTGGTACCACAGGTCAGGGAGCTGGTACCACAGGCCAGGGAGCTGGTACCACATGTCAGGGAGCTGGTACCACAGGTCAGGGAGCTCGTACCACAGGCCAGGGAGCTGGTACCACATGTCAGGGAGCTGGTACCACAGGTCAGGGAGCTCGTACCACAGGTCAGGGAGCTGGTACCACAGGTCAGGGAGCTCGTACCACAGGTCAGGGTGCTCGTACCACAGGTCAGGGAGCTGGTACCATAGCTAGTCGAGTGGTAGTTAACCTGAACGTCAAAGTGAGTGGTAGTTTATGCTGCAACTTGAAGAATGCTGTAGAGGTGAACAACCAGGTAATTACAGATAATAACACTTCGTCTCCTGAGACGTAATAAGGATTGACTCAACCACCTTCTAAACCTGTAGCGAATGACTACCTTTGGCAACCCTAAGTCCCGCGTTCGAATCCTGGGGCCAGATTCACGAAGCAGTTACGCAAGGAACGTGTACATCTTTCCTCAATCGTTGACGGCTTTGGTTACATTTATTAAACAGTTTACAAGCATGAAAACTTACCAATCAACTGTTGTTATTGTTATAAACAGCCTCCTGGTGCTTCGGAGCTCATTAACTGTTTAATAATTGTAAACAAAGCCGCCAAAGATTGAGAAAAGATGTACAGGTTCGTAAGTGTTTGCGTAACTGCTTCGTGAATCTGGCCTCTGGTGTTTGTTACAGTGCTTGAGTGAATGAATTCGAGTTGCTAACCTAAATGTACCCCATGAAGCGTTGGGAGTTAGCTCCTGAGCCCCGCCATATCGGTTATCAGTAATAACTACTAGTGGAACTATTGAGGAAGCTTCTACTATGTCTACCTCTAAGGGGTCTAATGTCTGAGAAAAGTATATATCTTTTATGTCTGACAACAGCACATGTCTGGCAACAGCATGTCTGGCAACAACATGTCTGGCACCAGCATGTCTGGCAACAACATGTCTGGCACCAGCATGTCTGGCAACAGCATGCCTGGCAACAGCATGTCTGGCAACAACATGTCTGGCAACAACATGTCTGGCACCAGCATGTCTGGCAACAGCATGTCTGGCAACAACATGTCTGGCAACAACATGTCTGGCAACAGCATGTCTGGCAACAGCATGTCTGGCAACAACATGTCTGGCAACAACATGTCTGGCAACAGCATGTCTGGCAACAGCATGTCTGGCAACAGCATGTCTGGCATTATATCCAACCCTAAATTACTCGACTAAACAAGAGAGCAATATGGAACCTTACCCTTCTTATTAGAGGGTGTGTGTGTGTGTGTGTGTGTGTGTGTGTGTGTGTGTGTGTGTGTGTGTGTGTGTGTGTGTGTGTGTGTGTGTGTGTGTGTAAAACGAACCCCCTTCCCCCACCACCTAGCCAGCGACAACAGCCATAACTTGACGCCGCCACACACACACACACACACATGGACTGTGCACACGCGTGCGAGACACACACGCACGCGCACACAACCCACTCCTCCCAACAGCGTCAACCCCATCTTATGATTCCCTATCAAGATCGCGCGACGACGGGCCGGCAGGAGAGGGTTGAGTTTGTAGGGGCTTGAAATATGGGTGGTAAGGGAGGCATGGCAGCCGCTAAATGGGCGGTGTATGGTTGTATGGGGGTGGGGAAGGGGGTGACAGGTATGGGTGTGTGGGGGGGGGGGGAGGGAGGCAGACCGGGAGGGGGTGAAAGCGGGATGTAGGGAAGCTAGAATAGCGACCTACGGTTGGGCAGGGTGGCCTCCACACACACACACACACACACACACACACACACACACACACACACACACACACACACTGACCGTTATGTTGGCCAGCTGCTAGCAACATAGCATGCTGCCTTGCACATATTTCACAGGTGTTTTATGTTGTCAGGAGAGAGGTATTGGATGTCAACACAATGCCGCTGTTGTATAAATTAGATAACCAATATTCCTTTTAACTACTGACTAATACAGAAATTAAATACATAACGAGAATTAAAACATACACATTAGGTCATACGGACCAGTAACATGCAGACTGTACCCGCGTGGATTATATTACAGTTGTGAAATGTATTTACTGGCGCCAATCAGTAGGAGCATCTACGAGATTGGTCCCAATACACACCGGTTTATGTAATGCTGTTTGGTTCTGGCTTTTGTGGTACAGTAAGCGAAGCTGTTGGACAATCGTGAATAATTTGATCATCATCTTTGGGTGATTTCCTAGGCTGCTGGAATTTGGTTATCTTGAGATGATTTCGGGGCTTAGCGTCCCCGCGGCCCGTTCCTCGACCAGGCCTCCTTTTTGTTACACATCCCCCAAGAAGCAGCCCGTAGCAGATGTCTAACTCTCAGGTACCTATTTACTGCTAGGTAACAGGGGCATCAGGGTGAAAGAAACATTTTGCTCATTTGTCTCCGCCTTCACCGGGGATCGAACCCGGAACCTCAGGACTACGAATCCGAAGCGCTGTCCACCCAGCTGTCAGGCGCTGGGTACAACTGAAAAGTGTTTATTTTTTTTGTCCACGTGGTCCTCTAAGTCCTACATAGACATGGTTAGAGAGCCGATACATAGACAGCTATTCATGACTAATGTGGTTAGATTGTTTAGTTTGGTTAGATTAATTAGCTAGTATCCTTAGTAAAATAATCGAGAATTAATATATTTCGAGAGTGGCCTCTATACGAGGCTGAGGCGACGTCATTTGGGCGGAGTAAATATATTCATTTATTTGCTCACCTTTCCTGTTTGCTTGCAGGCTCGGCGCTCGATCCCCGATGACCCAGGTGGTTGGGTACCGTTCCGTCAATTTACCCTCATATCTCAGCTCCTTGTCCTCATTTCCAAGCTCCTTGTCCTCATATCCCAGCTCCTTGTCCTCATATCCCAGCTCCTTGTCCTCATATCCCAGCTCCTTGTCCTCATATCCCAGATCCTTGTCCTCGTATCCTAATTTCAACTACTTATTTGTAAATTCTGAAAAATATATGTCATTTCAATCATTATGTGAAAGATGATTGACGGAAGCGACGATTACGATAGACAAATGAATTTTGGACGCCCAGTTCTTCCTAGACCATGACCTGGGTTCCTCAGGCATTTACCCAACCACTTGCGAAACCTGTACATCTTTCCTCAATCATGGCGGCTTTGTTTACATTTATTAAACAGTTTATGGGCCTGTGTGTTAATTATCTGTTATGATCTGTCTGCCTTTTTTTCTCACCGAGAGGAAGGGAGGAGGGGAGAGATAGAGGGGGAGGGATAAGGGGCCACAAGGAAGTCTCTAGAAGACTCCAGACCAGTTCACAGCCCTGATGATGATTCCTGGGTTCTCGAACCGGGGTCTGTTCCATGTCCCTCCAAAATGAGTCCCATGGAAGCCGCGCCGCCATTAATTCCACGTTCTACGCGCGCGTATCCTAGCGCACGCTGGAATTGCTTTGTTGTGCTTGAATGGCACGAAAGTTTGTCTAGGAATCTAGGGAGTTCTAAGGCCTAGGGAATCCTAGAGGCTAGGAAGTCCTAGAGGCTAGGGAGAAGGTAGGAGACTAAGGAGATATGGGTTATACTCACCTAGTTGTATTTGCTGGGGTGAGTTACGGCTCTTGGGTCTCGCCTGTCAATCCTTATTCAACCGGGTGAGTACATAGCGGAGGAATAGATTGGGTTCTGGAATTACATTACCATTTTCACTAAAACCTTACCAACCCACGATACAACCCATCTCAGGAGACATGATAACGACATGAGAGATTCTCGAGGGAATAGATAAGATTAGTAAAGATAAAGTGTTCAGTATAAGACAAAATTTGAAGGGAAACTTGTTTATAATTAGTTTATAAACTGACGGCAGTTGTCGAGTTAGTGTTGCCTGAACTGATTGGGCAACAATAATATAATTCCTGTTGTTATTAGGAGAAACTTATCGAGATCCATCAAGGCCAACTGCTGACCTTCGCCAGGATGCAAACCACAATAGTTTCCTAAATCCCGGTAACTCTTTACTCTTAGGTGAACAGATGCATCAGATGAAAGGAAACGTGGCCAACTATGTCCCGTCCGGGAATCGATCCCGGAATCCCTGATTGTTAGTCGAGGACCAAGACCACTGTGCCACAGGACCCCAGAGCAGCTATGTTTATTGCAAAATCCTCCAAAAGATTGTTTAGTCTTAATTATAAACATCCCACGACTGTCATATACATCAGGGAGTGTTCATCACATCTTCATGTGTGTATACTGAGGTTATACTTCAGTCTTGGACTGTGTTCAGGGCTGAAGTATACTCACTGGTTGGTCAGTAAGGTGTTGTGGTGGCCTTAATAACCCTCCCTAACCCTAATAGGTCTTAAGTCCAACACCAAACTTGCTGGTTGGTCAGTAAGGTGTTGTGGTGGTCTTAATAAGCCTCCAGAGGTTGATAGGCCTTAAGTCCAACACCAAACTTGCTGGTTGGTCAGTAAGGTATTGTGGTGGCCTTAATAACCCTCCTGAGGATATCAAGGCCAACACCAAAAAAGTCTCACAATTTGCGAACATAAAACAACGCCGCCTGGGATGACGAACGTGTTTACTATACCAACACTCAGCCTGAGGCGACCTGATGGAGAAGGGTCTAAGATCTGAGAAAAGTGTGTATCCCTCTACGTCATCGATACTCTATGAACAAACCTGACTTAACTAAACCTATCTCAGTCTAGCCTAACGCAACCTAGTGTGACCAAACCCAACCTAACGACAATATGAGAGAAGACTATGAGGCTTATATATGGTGTTTACAGAGTCTGTGACGTTAATGTGACATCAAAATGTTCACGCCCGTACAGGTTTTAGACCCTACTCGAGTGATGAGCCGCCGCGTTCAGGTGAAAGTCAAGACGCTAAAATCAACACCATTTTCGTTGACGAAATCATAACACCTTTGATAACACAGTTCCCAGACTCAATTGCAGGGCTGTTATGTAATTAAACCAAGATCAGAGCAAGGGAACCAAAATGATTTGGTGTGTTTAAAAGTTGTTTATAGCGTTGGTTGGCGGTATGAGGACAGGACGCTGGAGAGGGGGAGGTCCTCGCCACAGGACGCTGGAAGGAGGGAGGTCCTCCCCACAGGACGCTGGAGGGGGGAGGTCCTCCCCACAGGACGCTGGAGAGGGGGAGGTCCTCGCCACAGGACGCTGGAAGGAGGGAGGTCCTCCCCACAGGACGCTGGAGGGGGGAGGTCCTCCCCACAGGACGCTGGAGAGGGGGAGGTCCTCGCCACAGGACGCTGGAAGGAGGGAGGTCCTCCCCACAGGACGCTGGAGGGGGGAGGTCCTCCCCACAGGACGCTGGAGAGGGGGAGGTCCTCGCCACAGGACGCTGGAAGGAGGGAGGTCCTCCCCACAGGACGCTGGAGGGGGGAGGTCCTCCCCACAGGACGCTGGAGGGGGGAGGTCCTCGCCACAGGACGCTGGAGAGGGGGAGGTCCTCGCCACAGGACGCTGGAAGGAGGGAGGTCCTCCCCACAGGACGCTGGAGGGGGGAGGTCCTCCCCACAGGACGCTGGAGGGGGGAGGTCCTCGCCACAGGACGCTGGAGAGGGGGAGGTCCTCGCCACAGGACGCTGGAAGGAGGGAGGTCCTCCCCACAGGACGCTGGAGGGGGAAGGTCCTCGCCACAGGACGCTGGAGAGGGGGAGGTCCTCGCCACAGGACGCTGGAAGGAGGGAGGTCCTCCCCACAGGGCGCTGGAGGGGGGAGGTCCTCGCCACAGGACGCTGGAGAGGGGGAGGTCCTCGCCACAGGACGCTGGAGGGGAGAGGTCCTCCCCACAGGACGCTGGAGGGGGGAAGGTCCTCGCCACAGGACGCCGGAGGGAGGGAGGTCCTCCCCACAGGACGCCGGAGGGAGGGAGGTCCTCCCCACAGGACGCTGGAGAGGGGGAGGTCCTCCCCACAGGACGCTGGAGGGGGAGGTTCTCGCCACAGGACGCTGGAGGGGGGGGGGGAGGTCCTCGCCACAGGACGCCAACCGTGAGGCAGATGGCCAAAACTGGTTAGTGAAAGTAACATGCCAAAGCGCGACCATATACAAAGGAAGAGATGTATCCATATTTTTTGGTGTATATACACAAGGAGAGGTGTGTCTATGTTTCTCAATGTATATACACTGGTTCAAATGCACGTACAGTATATGGTTCATGGAGCCATGGCTTTCCAGGGAACTAAGTTAAAAAAAAAATAATGGGTTAGGCTGTTGTATAATTTTTTTTGTTAAAATCATTAGTCGTAGGTCTTTAAAATATGCAAATTAATCAGGATTATAAAAGATCAAACAAAAAATACTTAAGAGGAACAATATAGATCAATTAATCACGTATAAAACACAAGTTAAACAATAAAAAAAGAAAAAGCCTAGTGGACACTAAGCTTTAAATTTTCGTGAAACGATATCCAAATCAAATTATCAAGTTCACGACATTTTACTTGCATAAACTCGCAAGTTTTTGGTAAACACACATAGACACCCTCTCTGCAGTAGTAAATATAACTGAATGCGATATAATGACGTGGATATCAAACCCATTTACATCTCGCTAAACAAAGACGTAGGTAATGCTTACTTAGGAAATATTCCCCACCGAAAGCCTAACCGAAGCACCGTTCAAGAAATCTTTGGACGCCAACGGTTGTCAGCAATGTGTAAGGTGGTTTGCAATCGTAAACAGGGGTTGTGGTGGCTGGATTAATAAACATCTGCCCTATGTTTATGAGGCTGGACCAAAACAAAGACACATGGAATGTGTCACAAGAGTTGGTAAGAGGCGCTAGCAACGTTGCTTCCTGGCTATTCAATCCTAACTCCCAGTTCTCATTCAACCCGGCTACCCTGAACAAGTGAAAGTCTTTTTGCTTGTCCACCAAACCACATAAAGTCTTCTTATATCCCAGGCCTGAGGAAGCTGTCCCTTTGTGTACTAAATCAATTTCGTACACAAAGGGAAAGAAAATCCCGCCCCTTTCACTTGGCGGGAAATCGAGTTTGACTTACCCAGAGGGCACAACGGTTGCCACTCCCCCGAGCGTGTGGGACTCGTTAAGCAGTCATCAAACAGTGACAGCCTGACTCGTGACAGTGTCAGCTGTGACAGCACCACGGACACGGAACAGGTGACTGCACCACTTCACATGCATATGTTGTTTTTGCCAAGTTTCTCTTGTGTACGTTTACAGTTAACTTGGATTCGAGGCTACTTTCTTCTCTCTCGCCGCGCACCCCCCCCCTCTCTCTCCCCCCCCCCCTCTCTCTCTCTCTCTCTCTCTCTCTCTCTCTCTCTCTCTCTCTCTCTCTCTCTCTCTCTCTCTCTCTCTCTCTCTCTCTCTCTCTCTCTCTCTCTCTCTCTCTCTCTCTCTCTCTCTCTCTCTCTCTCTCTCTCTCTCTCTCTCTCTCTCTCTCTCTCTCTCTCTCTCTCTCTCTCTCTCTCTCTCTCTCTCTCTCTCTCTCTCTCAATGCATACTTGGCTAAAGAACCCTTAATTTTCCAGACACATTCCTTCCCCCTGTCCCATCACAAATCCTTATCCTGACCCTTTCCCAGTGCTATATAGTCATAATGATTTGGCACTTTTTCCTGATAATTCCCTCCCTCTACACCTGTGGGGTGATGACGCATATTTATCTTTTCAAATACCTGTTACCTAACGCCTGTAAGACCTATAGACGGCAAGGCCACATAGCCTATTGTCCTAGGCGTCAGGGCCTCGCCAGCAGACCCTGGTGCTGCAATGTGAAGGATTAATGCTGTAACATAATCTATACTTACACAAACTTATTGGTGACGAGTTCAGCGGGAAAATTGTAACATTTATCAGTCTTTGTTAAATTGATTGCCACTTAATTTAACAGGGGGTAGTCAACGTCTAACCAACGTCACTCTTGGATATACTCCCTGAGTAATGACGTCGATAACTCTTAAAATGTCCGGAATTATATCAGTTTGCACATAAATACTTACGGTTCAGCGTCTCTAAATGAAAACCTTCATGGAATGGCACGCATGCTGACGTCAGTTCCTGAAGCCGACATCTTTGGGAGCGGCATGTAATGAGCTATAACTAACTGGCTAATAGAGGTGCCACACACACTGGCACGCAGAAGCCCCGTCGGAGATCGTGGTTCTCCGTGTGTAAGAACAATCAACGCAAGAATCATAGCTCAATTCAGTTCTGGGTCTTGCTTTTCTGATGTTTTCGGTTGCACAGGTCTCCGCCACAGGGGAGGCCTCCGCCACAGGGGAGACCTTCGCCACAGGGGAGGCCTCAACAACTATGGCGTATCTACGTCGGCTTGTCGGGATCACTGTAGCCTAGGATGCATCCCACAACAGTTGCCTAGCCTAGGAGCCTATTTATGCCAGGCAAACCGAAATATCAGGTGTAAGAAAACTAACCCAAACGTCTCGTCCTGCCGTGGGAACCGAACACGGGATATTTCGTGGGGAGCAGGTACACTTTGGCCCCCAAGTGACAAGCACTAGAATTTGTAACCTTCCCCCTCCACCTCTCCAGCCCGCCGGTCCTGTATCCGCCCACTCGCCGCTCCTGTACCTGCCTGCTTGCATGCCCAGTACCCGCCCACTCGCCGCTCCTGTACCTGCCTGCTTGCATGCCCAGTACCCGCCCACTCGCCGCTCCTGTACCCGCCTGCTTGCATGCCCAGTACCCGCCCGGGGCTTGCTAAACACTAGTGAAGGGGAAGTGTTGATATTTGCTTTGTCCTTTCACCAGCTGCACTGTCTATATGGCTGTCTACTTCGTCTTAATCCTTCTTGCCCCACAGTCCGTCAGCGTGTCGTAGATGGTGTGGGGTGTCGTAGATGGCGTGGTGTGTAGCAATTATATTTGTCTGTCAGCGTACTCCAGACAATGTTTAACTGACGTATTTTCCGTCAGATGGCAGCTTTCACTCGTGGATAATTTGTGTCTCACTTATCCATTAAAGTGCTGTGTCCAGGACTTGCCTGGAGTTTCTTTATGTAGGGGGATGAGACATGGCTCTTGGGACCCGCCTCTAATAGGTTGGTGTAATCATGTTTCCACATGTCGCTTCTATCTTCCACTGGTGTGAAGCTAAACTTCTGTGTACTCATCTAGTTGTGCTTGCGGGGGTTGAGCTCTGGCTCTTTGGCTCGTGTGTGTGTGTGTGAAGCTGATATTGAGTGCGTCTTGTGTGTTGTTGAGTGCGTCGTGTATAATTCTTGTATTTATTCATTCCTTCATTTATTGTTCATTCATAGATGTATTCCGGCAACCTGTCCTCTCAATTAATACGTCGCCTTCTTTACGGAATCACCCAATCCGATGCATATGTGACGTATAGGTAAAAATTAAACCGCCGAGATATTGACGTTCTCGTTCTCTGTCTCTATCTCCCCTCGATAGATTAGGTGGGTTGTTTGGGTTAGTACGTTTCTGGTTACGCTAAACAACTACTTTTTTTATGGCTGGAGCTACATAGTCGAGAATGAATGATGGCGATATTTGGCAGGGATATTTGGCAGGGATATTTGGCAGGGATATTTGGCGGGGATATTTGGCAGGGATATTTGGCGGGGATATTTGGCAGGGATATTTGGCAGGGATATTCCTAGCTAGTCCGCAAGCCTCTGACTGTCGCGCCATGAGGCTTTAGGACCGTGACTAAAAAGTCTTGAGTGCGTCGTGGTTGAAAATGATGTCGAAACCGACCATTTTCTGCTTGTACTTTTGCTATTTTTAAGTATATATTTACCTTTAGGTGTTTATAAACAATTTGTTTAGTATATCTTTACCCTTTTGGTGTTTATAAACTTTCTATGTTAAGGTATATGTTTATCCTTTGGTGTTTATTGCGTATATTTCTCAGTCTAAATAATTCTCCTTTAATATGACTCGTTTAAAAATATTTTTCATGATTAAACATTGAAAATTTAAATTTATGAATTATTAAAATTAAATCTTTAAGTTTAATCTAATTTTAAATTCCTTGCTCTCTCCAACAGATGGCGCTGGTGTTGGCGAGTGTGCTGGCGTTGTGTGACGGAGTCGCCCTTTCTCCTCTCCATCTTCTCCACCAAAACGACCAACTAATGAACCAGGATCATAACGACATCAGCATACAGCACCCCAACCATAAGTTCTTCCGCGCTATGGTTGACCGCAATCATGAACTGGCGGCGGTGGAGACACATCGGGTCGAGTTAGGCCCCGTCACAGACGTGGGACGAGAAGGAGAGGAGTCGAACTTCGACGCTGGTGCTATGGATGTCCTCAATGTTAAAACACCAAGAGTTGAGCATCATCGTTCGATCACGCCAACGTCAGACTACAAAAAGGTTTCTTTTCACGCCTTTTCCCAACCAAAGCGCCTCCAACAGAAGCCTCTCAAGAGGCAGAAGCGCTTCATCATGGAGAAAGACTTGAGGTCCTTCGTGGTACCTCTAAGTATTTTCAACTACTTGGGCTTCCTACCTGTCCGCGTGCCCGGCCTGCCTTACCACAGTGAGCTGCCTTCACCTGACTACAGCTACTACGAAACCACCTACGATATAAAGACACCGTACAGGAGAAAACGACGCTTCCTGTTCTTCTAAGACGGTTTTATCGTGGAAGAAATACAAAATATCTGTGTATACATCCCTTCGGAGTCCAGGGACGCGGGTTCGATCCCATTGTATGACTAATATTGTATCAAAGATATCACCTTATGATTTCATTATGTATATAATTTGCTTTTACTCTCTAATACTGTAATTAGTTCTAAGGAACATATGGGCCAAAATATGTATGAAGTGCTTAAAAAAAGCTGTAATGATTCAAACAAGAATATTTTATTGAAAAAAGTTGATTAAACATAATGCACAAGTTGAGGATAGCCGGAGAACCACAGGCTGCCACCACTTGAACCTTTAGCTATAAACATATGATCGAAAAAGATATTAAAACGAACATAATTGTAGCTACATAAATATGTGCCAAAGGAGCGACAAAATTTAGTTTGAAAAAGTGGAAAATATTACATTTGTTGAAAATTACTGAATTTGTTGAAAAATATAAATATCGGACACAGATCACAGTAGCCACCTCAACGTTGCTTCCTGTATGAATGGGCTCCACTGGTGACAAAATTACAATATATTAAAGTGGGTTCCAATGGAAATATAATTCTGACACGTTGAAGTCGCTTCCAGAAATAGCAAAAATCGAAGACAAGTGGAAACAAGATTCTCTACAGATTAGGCTTCTTCAACAATGATACCGAGTTTGAGAGGCTAGCTGTCTGTGTATTGATGAGAGGTGTATGCCTGGGTGGGAGAGTATAATCATGGGGGCACATGGGACGAGCTCCCACCATCATCTGAGCACGTATACCAGGAACACGGAGCTACGGGCTGAGAGAGACGACCTACAGGCTGAGAGAAAGAGAGGACCTACAGGCTGAGAGAGAGGACCTACAGGCTGAGAGAAAGAGAGAGAGGACCTACAGGCTGAGAGAGAGAGGACCTACAGGCTGAGAGAGAGAGGACCTACAGGCTGAGAGAAAGAGAGAGAGGACCTACAGGCTGAGAGAGAGAGGACGTACAGGCTGAGAGAGAGAGGACCTACAGGCTGAGAGAGAGAGGACCTACAGGCTGAGAGAGAGAGGACCTACACGCTTTCAAGCATAACCTGTACGGTCCACGCTGTCAATCCACGACGACCAAACCATACATCAGAAGATGGAGAAACGACGACGTTTCGGACCGTCCTGAACCATTATCAAGTCCACACACGACTTGATAATGGTCCAAGACTGGCCGAAATTAACGCCGTCTGTTTCTCCATCTTCTGATGTATGGTCTGGTCATCATATCTTCAGCCACGTTATTGTGACTCATCGTATATCAAGCCATGATTCTCTCGCAACCTCTGGCACACTTTTCATTTATCTGAAAATTACCATTCCTTGCTATCAGCTCGTTAAAAACTGAAAATAACTGTAACCTCAAACATGAAAGACGTATTGTGCCTGTTAACAGAGAACATAGGGATACAGACGATATATATTGTATTATGGCCTACATGCTATCTAAAGGTTGAAGGTTGTTGTTGTTGGTTGAGGATCGAGGGATCGGATGCGCCCAGTAGCTGAAGGTTTAAAACCTGCAAGAGGAAATGTCAACAAATGCCTCATTATCGTCACACATTGCCACCTACAAGACACCATGACGCCTCGCTCCAACCACTAATATAACGTAAAATTTCTCGCAAAACTGTAAATTATTGAAATGCTTATAACTACCACTAGCCAGAATAAAAAGGAGACCTAATTACAAAAGGTTCAGAGAAAATTAAAACAGATTTAGAGACAAGAAGTATATTGACGTGTTTTGTTGTTTATCAACGCAATAATAGAAATATATAAGTGAATAAACATCTCTGCAAAGAATCACAAAGTGAATAGCAAACAAAAGTACAGCAATTTAACAAAGACTCATTTGAGGGGGAGCCGCAGAGGATTAACAAAGTATCCCCCAAATACTTGTCTGAGGTAAGTTTTTTCTAACATGTTTCGTTTTCTTTCATATGCAACTTTCCCAGGAGGGACTTTAATAATTATAACTAATAATACTTAAAATATTTAAATGTATATATATATATAAGAGTTCGTATATTCTTGAACAGCCACTTGCGTTTCGGGCATGTCCTTAAGCCTAATATTCCCTGGAATACGATCCGCCAAATCGTTTATTAACAACCAGGTTACCCATTTTACTGCTGGGTAAACAGAGGCTACAGTTAAGGATTGGCGCCTAGTCAATCCTCCCCGGCCAGGATACGAACCTGTGTCAGGTGGGATAAAACACCTGCGGATCAGCAGGTAAGTGTTGCAGCAGGTGTTGCCTGCTGGAGGACATTTGGGTCACAGATCGAAGTTACCAGAATATTTGATCAGTTGTTGGGGGTGGGGGGTTGCTGCTTCACTCTGGTATAGACTCTTATGTACACTCTGGTATAGACTCATATATACACTCTGGTATAGACTCATATATACACTCTGGTATAGACTCATATATACACTCTGGTATAGACTCATATATACACTCTGGTATAGACTCATATATACACTCTGGTATAGACTCATATACACTCTGGTATAGACTCATATATACACTCTGGTATAGACTCATATATACACTCTGGTATAGACTCATATATACACTCTGGTATAGACTCATATATACACTCTGGTATAGACTCATATATACTCTGGTATAGACTCATATATACACTCTGGTATAGACTCATATATACACTCTGGTATAGACTCATATATACACTCTGGTATACACTCATATATACACTCTGGTATACACTCGTATATATACACTCTGGTATACACTCATATATACACTCTGGTATACACTCGTATATACACTCATATACACTCTGGTATAGACTCATATATACACTCTGGTATACACTCTGGTATACACTCATATATATACACTCTGGTATAGACTCATATATATACACTCTGGTATAGACTCATATATATACACTCTGGTATAGACTCATATATACACTCTGGTATAGACTCATATATATACACTCTGGTATAGACTCATGTATACACTCTGGTATACACTCATATATACACTCTGGAATAGACTCATATATACACTCTGGTATAGACTCATATATACACTCTGGTATAGACTCATATATACACTCTGGTATAGACTCATATATACACTCTGGTATAGACTCATATATACACTCTGGTATAGACTCATATATACACTCTGGTATAGACTCATATATACACTCTGGTATAGACTCATATATACACTCCTATACACTCTGGTATATACTACAGAATACATTTTGTTTGCACTGATATACACTCCGTTCTATATATAATGTGTTGATGCACTTGAGTACACACCCTAGTACACTCTAGCACACCCTAGTGCTCCCCCAAGTACACCCTAGTACCCACTAGTACTCTATCACTGCCAGACCCGGAAGTAATAGTCTGCCCTACTATCTTGGACTCCATGATAGTCCGGCAAGAGATATATCACCCTAGTACACCCCAGCTCACCCTAGTACACCCCCAGCTCACCCTAGTACACCCCAGCTCACCCTAGTACTCCCCAGCTCACCCTAGTACACCCCAGCTCACCCCAGTACACCCCAGCTCACCCTAGTACACCCCCAGCTCACCCAAGTACACCCCAGCTCACCCTAGTACACCCCAGCTCACCCTAGTACACCCCCAGCTCACCCTAGTACACCCCAGCTCACCCAAGTACACCCCAGCTCACCCTAGTACACCCCAGCTCACCCTAGTACACCCCAGCTCACCCAAGTACACCCCAGCTCACCCAAGTACACCCCAGCTCACCCTAGTACACCCCAGCTCACCCCAGTACACCCCAGCTCACCCTAGTACACCCCCAGCTCACCCAAGTACACCCCAGCTCACCCTAGTACACCCCAGCTCACCCTAAAACATAACTACATTTGAGAGTGAACCTTATGTAGGATAAACCAAGCCTAGAGACACCCATGATATGAGGAAACCTACAACACCAACATTGCATGTAAGGCGAGGCCCGAGAGCTAGAGCTCGACGCTACCAGCAGACTAAGGGGAGTGCACACACACACCCGGAACTAACCAGTCGCTCCGAGTTAGTGTCACCCTAATGGAGCAAAGCAGAAAATAATGCAAATTATTAATACAGAATGACCTCGATTCTGTTCCTTTGTTGGGCTCACGACCTGGAAAATTGAGCTTGGCTTTGCTTGCGTTCTGATGATTCCGAGCGGGGAGGATAGCGGGGGTGTTCCGGGCGGGGAGGATAGCGTGGGTGTTCCGGGCGGGGAGGATAGCTGAGGTGTTCCGGGCGGGGAGGATAGCGGAGGTGTTCCGGGTGGGGAGGATAGCTGAGGTGTTCCGGGCGGGGAGGATAGCGGAGGTGTTCCGGGCGGGGAGGATAGCGTAGGTGTTCCGGGCGGGGAGGATAGCGGAGGTGTTCCGGGTGGGGAGGATAGCGGAGGTGTTCCGGGCGGGGAGGATAGCGTAGGTGTTCCGGGCGGGGAGGATAGCTGAGGTGTTCCGGGCGGGGAGGATAGCGGAGGTGTTCCGAGTGGGGAGGATAGCTGAGGTATTCCGGGCGGGGAGGATAGCGTAGTTGTTCCGGGCGGGGAGGATAGCTGAGGTGTTCCGGGCGGGGAGGATAGCATAGGTGTTCCGGGCAGGAAGGATAGCATAGGTGTTCCGGGCAGGGGTGGATACCGTAGGTGTTCCGGGCAGGGGTGGATAGCATAGGTGTTCCGGGCGGGGAGGATAGCTGAGGTGTTCCGGGCGGGGAGGATAGCATAGGTGTTCCGGGCGGGGAGGATAGCGTAGAGAAGATGAGAAAGACGAGGAAGATGAATGGAAAACAAAGGGAAAATAAGAAATAAATACAAGAAAAAAATTAGTTGAATAATGCGGCCTATTCACGCACGTGGATATTCACTCGCGTGGATATTCACTCGCGTGGATATTCACTCGCGTGGATATTCACTCGCGTGGATATTCACTCGCGTTGATATTCCCTCGCATGGCTGATCGATATAGCTGTCACTGCCAGACCAGGAAGTAATACTCTGCCCTACTATCTAGGACTCCACGATAGTCCGGCAAGAGATATATCACACCACATTTTTCACAGAACATGTATGAACGCAGCGGCTATGACCGTACCAAGGTATAGAATCCAGCGGCAGTCCTCATATCTCCAGTTACTAACCGGCTATAGCCCGAATATTCAGGTCATTGTGTCGTTTCAACGTACAGCGTCAAAATTGTCAGAAACCTGTCCTGAAATGTTACGAATAACGACTGTGGATGTAATGACCTGAATGTGGTCTTCGTCCCTCCTAAAAAGGGGTGTAGAGGGTGTGAGAAAGTAGACGCTATTCAGTCATAAGACTAGCCTAGTATATATTTATTTAGACATGTTTCATTAAGTGTGATGACTACTAGCCAGGCCCCTCCCTGCCTCCCCATTCTCCCCCCTCCCATTCCAGGCTCCTCCCTCCCACTCCAGGCTCTTCCCTCCCACTCCAGGCTCCCCCTCCCATTCCAGGCTCCTCCCTCCCACTCCAGGCTCTTCCCTCCCACTCCAGGCTCTTCCCTCCCACTCCAGGCTCCTCCCTCCCACTCCAGGCTCTTCCCCTCCCACTCCAGGCTCCTCCCTCCCATTCCAGGCTCCTCCCTCCCACTCCAGGCTCCTCCCTCCCTTCCAGGCTCCTCCCTCCCACTCCAGGCTCCTCCCTCTCACTCCAGGCTCCTCCCTCCCACTCCAGGCTCCTCCCTCCCACTCCAGGCTCCTCCCTCCCACTCCAAGCTCCTCCCTCCCATTCCAGGCTCCTCCTTCCCACTCCAGGCTCCTCCCTCCCACTCCAGGCTCCTCCCTCCCATTCCAGGCTCCTCCCTGCCTCCCCATGGCTCCTCCCCTCCCACTCCAGGCCCTTCCCTGCCTCCCCATGCTCCTCCCTCCCACTCCAGGCTCCTCCCTCCCATTCCAGGCTCCTCCCTCCCATTCCAGGCTCCTCCTTCCCACTCCAGGCTCCTCCCTCCCACTCCAGGCTCCTCCCTCCCATTCCAGGCTCCTCCCTGCCTCCCCATGGCTCCTCCCCTCCCACTCCAGGCCCTTCCCTGCCTCCCCATGCTCCTCCCTCCCACTCCAGGCTCCTCCCCCGCCTGCACAGTACTTCCGCCACTACCCTGCGTGACTTCCCCGTGTCAGGAAGTCAGGCGAGGTCTGAGTGGGCTGGTCAGCGTGCTAACGCAATCATATCCACAACCAAGAGCTTGTCAACATTACCTGTTTACCTTATATTTTTCTCTTCTGAGACCCGGTGAAGCTACTGTGAAATCGTTTTGTATCCAAGAATCGTGGTTACGGTAGTTTCTGGTAAGTTTTTTGTTCGTAATATACAGATTACCATGTTTTGTAAGCATGAAGCGACCTGGTTATATTTTTATGTATAATAATAAAGGTAATATTGTCTAAAACAAAATCATATCTTGAGAACAGGCCATACAACCCGTATGTTATACTTTATCCTGGTTTTCAAAAGCTGCAACGCTTTGACAAGAATGCGAAATGACCCGGTTTGATATTAATGTAGTCTTCTGTTGTTCATAGTGAATTGTCGTTAGTGATGCAGTTTCCAGGCTGTTAAATCAGTCCGTAAAGCCTTAATTCTGCTTTCTTCTAGGTAAGGTGCACTCACGTCAGGGGCTCTCCTCGTCTCTGTTGTTTCAAATTCTAACAGTGGCTGCTTTTATTTTATGAGGCTGCTGCTGTTTTGTTTTAGACTGCCTCTATTGTTTTGAGGCCACCTTCTTTTGTTTTTAATTTTGTCCAACTATTTCTTTTTAGGCTATTTCTATTTTCTTAGGCCACTACCATTTTTTAGACTACCTCAAATTTTATTGGAAACACCTATTTTTTGTTGTAGATAATCCAACATGTTATTTCTCTTGATCAGTTATAATTAACTAATTGTGTTAAATGTGTACATCTATGCATGTTCCTCATGGGTAACTAATATTTATTTTCAAGAAATGTAATATATACTTTTAAGAAATGTTACGAGGCTATAAAAGTCAACATGCATTCACTTGGGTGTTGGAAAATTACTGTTTACTAAGAAACAGTCGATATATAAATCAAACATATTTCTATAACATGGTACTAGAATTGTCTGTTTCCTGCCTGCAGCTTCATAAATATATTATGATGATCACTCCTTCTTGCTAGATTACAGGTTAGGTTTTGAAACATGTTTGTAACTTGTGTTTTATTTCTAGGTCAGCAACGGAACACTACTGCACCAGCAACAATGGTGGGGCGGTCTGCGCTGAAGATGTCAGGAGATAGTTGTGACCAACCCGCCCTCTACCCCAGTGTCAGAGGATGGTGTCGTCTGGTCAGCTGTCAGACCACTTCCAAGGAATACAGTCGCCCAGTCAGTCCAGTTATAGGGAATAGTCGCCAAGTCAGCGTCAACCCAGTTCCAAGGACTGGGTAGGTTAGGAGGGCAGGAAGTTCTCCTAAGATTTCAAAACGTCATGAAAACCGTTAATTAAAATTTCCTCCCCTAACCTAACAGACTAAGTCAGAGGACCCAAAACAGAAAACGGGGCAGTACGTCACTTTCGTGAGCTAATTTCATTTTGAATGACGTTGATTTTTAGCTGAATTAAATAGTTGATGTCGCGAGTAACAATCATTGAGTATTCATCGAGAATCAATGAAGCAACATCAATTAAGAGCAAAATCCTCCCAGCGGAAGTTTTCGTGGAATACACGGAGCTTAATTTGATATAATTTAAGAGTGTACAGTACTAGTAATGGAGGAGTATGGTCACCAGATTTAAGAAATGAAGTATAGGAGATTTTCTTTTAATCGATATCATCAATGTTAAGAAGGTAATGTGCCTTAAACAGTTCTGAAGTAGAAAATCTGAAATTCTCTAAAGAGTAGGTTATTAAGTAATCGCTATTAGTTCAAAACAACTATATGATTGCATTTACTGCAACTGTCTTGAGGTAGAAAATCGAAAATTATCTAAAACAAACAAAAAGTTAATATCAAATTGTTCAAAACGATTATTTTCAACCTATTCTTATGGAGACCCCGGATATCTTCCCTTATTCTATCCTGTAAAAATATTAATGATCATGAAGCGAACCTTGATCTTTGTGTAGAGTTTATAGATGTTTTGCCAATGGCTAAACATCTGTGAACATCTGTTTCTGGAGAAACATCTACTGTGTGAGTTTGTGGCTAAGAAGCCAAATATTTTAAATAATAAACTAATATCCTGAAGAGGTGAGTAATATGCACAGGTATACCGAATTAATAGATTGTAAATAAATTGTATAAACCTGTATTAATGAATTATTAATAAAATAAGTCGTATTTTTGTTCCTATTTTACAGCTCGTCCTCTAAATATGATAGTACGTATAACAACTATTTAACCAAACGTACAAAAATGGACTGTTAGATCTAAACAAAAGTTCGCCTTTCGTATAACTGAATTATCCCAAATGACATGTTAAACCTAACCTCCCCAAGGCCTAAATAAGCCATTCTAGGCCTAATATACGTTATCTTAAGTTCATATATTTGCTATACTAGGCCGACAAACGTTTAGGTTCCGTTTCTCGTGTTCTACAAAACTAATAGTATATATAATATTAATATTGCTGGCTACAACAGTCCATTTTTGTACGTACGATCCAATACGTGCAGTCACTTTTGCAGGCTGGGTTGATTTTGATTGTAATCAGGATAAAAAATGTTCTTGGAAATTTTATAAATAACTACAACTAAAACTCATCAAATATAATTATGAAACAAATTCTAATTTTAATAAACAATAGCAATAATTGATGCATAAATAAAAAAAGTACGAAGAGGTTTCTACACTACAGCCTAGTGATGTATATTAAAAGTTTAGGGCCATTACTAAACAAATTGTCCTTTCAACTAATAGGTTGTCTTTTGTACGTTGTGGCAAATTGAAGTTCTCGCGAGGCAGGATTCAATACAACATTTGGGGTTTACGGCTCATGCTCGGTGATATGGAAACACTGGTTTACTGAGAATTCTATAAAATATACATAAATGTAATAATTTCCCCTGTAAACTGATGTAAATATAATCTCTAAAACTGTAAATCATTTAAGGGAAAAAAAGTATAACATTTAGGGGTTAAATAATTTGTTTTCCCTCTCCCGTAATCTTTCCCTTCCTTCCCACAACCCCCGTTCCTTTTCCCCCAAAACCTTTCCCCCTCCCCCCGAACTCCTTTTCCTCCTCCCCCCTCCCCCGTTCCTCCTCCCCCAACCCCCTCTTCCCCCTCTCCCCAACTCCTTTTCCCCCCTCCCCCCAACTCCCATTCCCCCCTTCCCCCAACCCCCGTACCCCCTCCCCCAACCCCTGTTCCCCCTCCCCCCAACCCCCGTTCCAGCTGACCAGGTTGCCACAGTGGAATTAACTTGCTAAGTGCTGGAGACGGTAACCAGCAGTTTGTCACAGAAGAGGGAGCTGCCCGGTGCTACCTCGTGTCCACACTTCCTACATTATACATAATTCCTTATGTATACGCGTAAATCTTCATGTATACCTGAGGGACAAGGGTAAGAAACGATTCGATGTATATTTATATATAATGGATCATTTTTTGTGTGTGCTAGGATCTATATTTTCTGATTGGTGGAATGTAATTATTACTTGCTTAATTGTGTTCTAGTGAGGGAGGCTGGTGTTGCTTGGACGCTAGTGTTGGTGGTGTTGCCTGGACGCTAGTGTTGGTGGTGTTGCCTGGACGCTAGTGTTGGTGGTGTTGCCTGGACGCTAGTGTTGGTGGTGTTGCCTGGACGCTAGTGTTGGTGGTGTTGCCTGGACGTTAGTGTTGGTGGTGTTGCCTGGACGCTAGTGTTGGTGGTGTTGCTTGGACGCTAGTGTTGGTGGTGTTGCTTGGACGCTAGTGTTGGTGGTGTTGCCTGGACGCTAGTGTTGGTGGTGTTGCCTGGACGCTAGTGTTGGTAGTGTTGCCTGGACGCTAGTGTTGGTGGTGTTGCCTGGACGTTAGTGTTGGTGGTGTTGCCTGGACGCTAATGTTGGTGGTGTTGCCTGGACGCTAGTGTTGGTGGTGTTGCTTGGACGTTAGTGTTGGTGGTGTTGCCTGGACGTTAGTGTTGGTGGTGTTGCCTGGACGCTAATGTTGGTGGTGTTGCCTGGACGCTAGTGTTGGTGGTGTTGCTTGGACGTTAGTGTTGGTGGTGTTGCCTGGACGATAGTGTTGGTGGTGTTGCCTGGACGATAGTGTTGGTGGTGTTGCCTGGACGATAGTGTTGGTGGTGTTGCCTGGACGTTAGTGTTGGTGGTGTTGCCTGGACGTTAGTGTTGGTGGTGTTGCCTGGACGATAGTGTTGGTGGTGTTGCCTGGACGTTAGTGTTGGTGGTGTTGCCTGGACGTTAGTGTTGGTGGTGTTGCCTGGACGTTAGTGTTGGTGGTGTTGCCTGGACGTTAGTGTTGGTGGTGTTGCCTGGACGTTAGTGTTGGTGGTGTTGCCTGGACGTTAGTGTTGGTGGTGTTGCCTGGACGCTAGTGTTGGTGGTGTTGCCTGGACGCTAATGTTGGTGGTGTTGCGTAGTATTAGTTTTCCTAGAGAGCCCTAGAAATAAAGCAACAAAGAAACCTAACATTATCAAAGCCTAGAAAAGTACATATGTACTAGATTAGGTCTTAGATTGAGTTTTTAGGCCTTCTAAGGAAACATGCCTTGCCCAGGACTCGAACGCGAGGTCAATAGAATTGTTCATGTACCAACCACCCGTTGATGAGTGGGGGGGGGGTAGGGGTGTTGACTTCAAAGAATAACAAGGCGATAAATGAGATAAGGTCCTAATGAAAAACGATATAGATATAACAATATGAATACACAATAGGTGTTGCGTGACAGGGAGGGGAGAACGAGGGTGAGGGGGAGAAATGATATCAATGAGGGGGAAATCTCCCTAGTGAGGGGTGATCAGCTGAGCATTGTCAACAATGAATACCCGCCAGTTTTCCCCTCCCCATGATTGTATGGGCCGTTCACACGGAGCGGCAATTTGCCCCTAACTGCCTTCCGGTGATTAGCTTATGATGTGAAGATTATTTCATTGCGTCTAATCCTTTTATCTTGAAGAAAATGAATTGGCAGTTTATTTGTGACAGGTTGCTTATCGTCACCATCTTTGCTTTCAAAGAAATGAAAGTTGCTTTTCAGAACGAATTATTTTCTTCAAAACGGTGCAGGAGAGAACAAATTGTATCAACTTTAAGGAATTTATTTATTAAAATGAGTTAACAGTTTTGATTATATTTAAAATTTCAATAGCATTGTGGTTATTGGTGTCAGTATAACGGTGCTTTAATTTGTTACTAATGCGACGTATTTTTAACGTACTGGTCGATTCCGTAAATAAATGCGACTTAATTAGGTTGAGAGGACGGGTTGAATAATATATAAAAACAGGCCCATAGACCGTCAAATCTTGAAAACGACGGTAGAGCCTCACAGACAAATAACGTCTTCAAACTTGTTTGTTCTTTTTAGGGTAGTGTGTAGCAAAAGGTTTTTCGAGACAAGAAAACCTAGGAAAACCTCTCCGTAGCCTAGGAAAACCTCTCCGTAGCCTAGGAAAACCTCTCTAGCGTAGAAAAATCTCTCTGTAGCCTAGGAAAAGTTCTGTAGCGTAGGAAAACCTCTCCGTAGCCTAGGAAAAGTTCTGTAGCGTAGGAAAACCTCTCCGTAGCCTAGGAAAACCTCTCTAGCGTAGGAAAACCTCTCCGTAGCCTAGGAAAACCTCTCTAGCGTAGAAAAATCTCTCTGTAGCCTAGGAAAAGTTCTGTAGCGTAGGAAAACCTCACCGGAAACCTATCCAAAGCCTAGAAAAACCTCTCCGTAGCCTAGGAAAACCTCCAATCGACTCTCAGGCTAGTATCTTTATCGAAGTTGTTGTTGTTTTTAGATTTAGCTACTCGGAAAGATATGTCCATGTTGCACGGGCTATAGTTATATCGAAGTGTACTTCACCCACTTTATTGATCCGTTGTGTCTGCATCTTACCTTCTTTGATCTGTTCGTGTACGCAGACATGTAGCAATGCCATACGAAGACATGTTCGAAGAAGATACGCAGACATGTACCAACACCATACGCAGACATACACCAACACCATACGCAGATATACATCAACACCATACGCAGACAGGTACCAGCACTATACGCAGACATATACCAACACCATACGCAGACATTCACCATACGCAGACATACACCATACGCAGACAGACACCATCACCATACGCAGACATACACCAACACCATACGCAGACACACACCAATATACATATACATAACGGTTTTGTCACTACCATCCAATCTTCCTCAAAACCTCTCTATATTACATTCTCAAATCGCCGCTAGATTGGCCGGTGGGGATCAATGCCCCAACTACGCCTCTTGAATGGCTCTCCTAAAGTGTTCCGTCGTTGGAATTTGGTATTGAGAGAGTAGCATTTATTGTGGCATTTTCACGACAAAGGTCCGAAACTGACGCTGGTTCGGTGGAGGATCGATACCCGCGTTCGTATCATTGCTCGACTCGTCTTCCGTTATATAGGTCGTTTTTTTTTTATCATTACCCGTATCACTGTCTGTTACTACGAGAGGTTTTTGATGAATCTAGGGAATTATAATTATATATATATATATTTTTTTTGAGGTGTGTTGATCTAGGTTTCTTAGGAAAATTGAATGCCGGAAGTTACATGTTTTTTGAAACGGGTGTGATTAATCTATCGTTTAACGAAGTCAAGAGCTAATATGCGGGTTCGGACGATGGCTTAAACGCAACAGCGGTAGTGGTGTCTGGTTTTATTATTTTAATAGTGTCTTCGTTATCTACCGGTCTATGTACCTATGTCGTGTGGTTATCCTTCCCTCGCTCAAGGGTCACTTATATTGACACACAACTGTCACGGTGTTCGAAAATAGGTGAAAATAAACCATAATATCACAAGCGTTCGAGTTCCGGCCATGCACCTGCCTCATGGCACTGCCAGATCTCGCTACGTTTATATTCCCATTTGTCTTCCTAACACTGCCAAATATATTGAATTATACAAATTGGCTACATCTATCGTCGCGTATGATACTCCCAGTTGTATCTGGATACTAAAAACGGGGATATGGGTTGATGAGGAGTATATAAAGATGCAGTTAGTAGAGTGATGGCGGTATATGGCATGTGGCGAGGGCGCCTCATGGCGAGGCTTCGGGCCATTGCCTGTCTACCAGGCAGTCATTCACGGACCTGAGACGGGGAACCGTCTATACCTCTGTCCACCCGGACGCTTCTTG